CTTACACTTAAATTAATCATTTGATACAATGCACTTATTGTGTGCATACATGTTTTTACATTGTACTTATATTTTTTAAAATACCTGCATGTAATTACACCTGTAATTAATTTCTGCAATTACATATATAATTACACCGTTGACCCGTTCCTTACACCTTAACCCATCTTTAAACCTACCCATACCACCAAATCTGTCCCTAACCTTACCTGTATCCCACCTCAATAGCAGCAAACGTGTTTTGCAATACAATATGAACACAATACGTACATTGTACTTATTTTTTACTTATTTTTAGTACATAGTAGTTAAGGCCATCTGTTATAAAGTGGGACAAAAATTCTCCTTTTGTTTTGACACTGATGTAATCATTTTATGATATCAAACTTACTGTAAGCAAACAGTTTACTAGCATGACGCATACAGTATGGATGGAAGTTGTCTTCAGTAAGGACAATAGGATTGCTTTGTTACACACATTTAATCCAGTGAAGCTTAGCCTGTTAATAAATGACTCGTCTTGAGTTATCATCTTAAGATACAGACACATCAATCAAGAATAATGTTTTTCTAAGCCATGAGTGATTTGAGTCTAACTCGCATCCAAGTGATGAGCCATGGTCTAAATCTGGTCTAAATATAATATTGTATAACAAAAATGGGGCTGAATGTTATTGGAGGATAAATAATCAGATGTGGAGCTTGTGGTTTTGGTGGCAAAATGCCATGTGGATAATTTGTTCAAGGCAGTGGGAGGAAAAAAACAAGCAGACATTTAAATGAGAAAAATGAGCAATGCCAGAAATGCTTTGTGGTGAATATGAAATTTACTCAAGGTGAAATTGCTATTATATTCTGTCCTGAAATAGCCGGTGTTCTACGGGAGAATGCTTTTATTTTATTATATATTTCACAAAGAAATTTCTCAGTGTGGAAAATTTGAGTGGCTTTTAGGAGTGCATTACAGGGTGTAACAAATTGAATTTGAGGCATCGACAAATACAGAAATATGACAAATTCTGTGTTGGGGAGGGGGGGGGTGTTCCTGCAAATTTATGTTTTGCAAGTCATACAGTCCTATAGCAAAGATTCTATGAAGTCAGAGTGTAATGAGATGGAGAAAATGAATTCACCTTGTAAAACTAGCTGTCATAAAATATTTCTCTAAAATCATTAAAGGATGGTGGATAATTAGTGAGGTAAGAGCCAAACCACCGTGCGATAGTCTTGAACAGTGAGCGCCACTGGGAAAAGGTAAATGCACGCAGCAGAAAATGCAACCACAGCAGATTGTAGACAGCAGTGAGGAAAATGAAACGGTGGCACTGCCAAAACCCTGCAAGAAAAGCGGTCAGCTACGGGTGAGAGACTGTCAGTGAGAGAGAACACAAAAACCAATACTGAATGAATTAAAGTGGTAATTTCTGTATTTAGGATACTGTATTATGCTTTGTGGTTTGCAGAGCGAAGATTTAAAAGAATTGGATCACATCCATTGGATATTTTTACCAAGCCAGAACATATTTGTTTTGCATTTTTGCTAAAATATGCTTACGCAGCATTTGAAGATGGGTTTATAATATCCTAACCAGCAGACAATTAAGACAAAAGTAATTATACATACACTATTCTCCAAAAATTTGGGGTCGGCAAGATTTTTTAATGTTCTTCAAAGACGTCTCGTTTGCTCAGCAAGGCTGTATTTACTTGATCAAAAATATAGTGAAAATAGCAATATTTGTGAAATGTTATTACAATTTTAAATAACAGTTTTCTACATATTATTATATATTCTATACATTTAAAACTGTAATTTATTCAGTGATGTTAAAGCTGAATTACTCTTCAGAGTGACACGATTCTTCAGAAATCACTCTGATATGCTAATGTTGCGATGAAGAAGCATTTCCTATTATTATCAATGAAGAAAACAGTTGTGCTGCTTAATATTTTTGTGGAAACCGTAATACAGGATTTTTTTAAATCAATATTTCAATATCTTTTGTAACATTTAAAATGATTTTTACTGCCACTTTTGATTAATTTCATGCATTCTTGTTGAATAAAAAAATAGACCCCTAACTTTTGAATGGTTGTGTATTTATAATTTAATCTTTTTACAATTACATATACAATTGTAGTATATATTAATCTTCAGCAAATCTCAAAATGAACATTTTTAATAGTACATTATACGTTATAATATACATTTTAGTACATTATAATGTTGTTCAATTTAGATTAGATTGTTTCATTTATTTTAGTTGAATTATACTTTAATTAGACTTACAACTTAATTAACTAAAATATTTTGTCTAAATAATTGTTATATTTATTTTCGTCTTAGTACACAGTATTAGAAAAACACTTCAGAGAAAGAAACAAGAAATTTAATATATTCCATTTATTACTATAACATGAAATAATTATCAGTATCCAGCAGAACTTTCTACTGTTCTGTCAATAGAAAGTGGCCAAAAACACACACACACACATATATACTATACAATATGCTATATTTACTATATGCTATAGACAATATTTCTAAGTGAGTAATCACTCGCTGCTGTGTTCTCTATGTTGAATATGTTCCAGAGCATCATCGAGAACACTATCAACTAGCATTAATGGGTTAACAAAGCTCTACTCTCCACTCCTACTCATTATGGCTCTTTGTGATATGCTGCATTGACCAGCCCTGCTTTAATTCACCATTCACATTCAAACATAATCACTACTTGTTTTATATAAATAGCCATCCCACATTACATTTTAACATAAAAGCAGAAAAATGGATGTTGACTATTCTATTAGACCCAAAGCTGTTATTATGTTTACAGTAGAGCCCTTAATTATGACCCAGACCTGGTTTTATAATGTCAGTGGAAGTGAGAGGAGCTATTTATGTGAACCTGCGTTTCGTCTTCATTACTGGCTGGAAAATGAAGCACTTAGACGCAACAAGAGGAAGGGACATCTCCTGTGGGTTCGTCTCTCCCCCTCTGGTGTACAAGTTTGCTACTTTGCTGAAGAAAATGATTGTCCTTTGGCATTCAGAGAGCATGAAAAATACAGTATAGTGTTGAGCAGATGTTGATGACATTTGTGCGTGTGTTGGTGGTAGAGATGCTGTCTAGACACAATGTAATTAAATCTGCCGCTTCAGAACTGCTGGGAAATATGAATCCCCAAATAAGCACCCACAACTGTAGGCAAAACAAAATCGATCTGTTAGAAAAACATCCTAGATTATTACATTATGATTGCGTGCCACGACTGCCACAGTTCCTGCATCTTAACTGAATAGTGAAGGGAACAAGACCGAGCAGCAGTGCTTGGGAGTAATTAACCAAAAGAAGCGACTTAACTAAATTGACTTCATTACATTTTAACAGGCATGTTTTAAGGCAACAGGGCGAAAAAGAGAGAGAGAAAAAAAATAAATACATTTGGGCTTTTTTTTGTCTCTGTACACCCAAAATACACATACTTTGTATTTATTTGCATCTGTAAGTTTCAATTACAATACATATTTTTTAAAATACGTTTACTCAAAGTGACTTTTTGTTTGTTTTCTTCTGCACTGAGCCAGAAATCTGTGCAGCACACACACTTTAAAGTTTTATTCTGAAGGATTTTACATAATGGTTTATAATTTGCATGATTTATATTGCATTTTATTCCTAAACAACATGAACGGAATTAAATTAAATTAAATTAAATTAAATTAAATTAAATTAAATTTAAATTAAATAAAATTAAATAAAATTAAATAAAATGCAACATTTGTGCATATTTAATTAGATAATGCCTCATATTGCGTAACCGAAAGTGTGACAAAACACAACATCCCCACAACAGGTTGTGCATAAAGGTTGTGTCTTCTTTCTAATATGAAATCTAGATTCATTCTAGTGAATTGGTTTGTTCAGATGGCTCATCTGAATGAACTAAATTCCATAAAAATTATTCACTGATTCAAATCCCTGCTCAGATATTCTGCTCTGCATTTTAAATCTTCTTTATTATAGCAAACTGTTTAGTTAAATGCTGTGTATTAAATGTGTTCCACATTTAAATTAATTGTTCATTTCGTGAACATGGAAAACCTGAAAATATATAAAACAAGGGAAAACTGAAATAAATAAAAAAATCTTAGAAAATCTCTCAAATTTCTATAATAAATACATTTTAAGCTGTTGCATTTACTGGAAATGTACTATTCACTTACTGATTAAACTACAAAGTATATGACCAGATACAATTAAGTTTCCATAAAATTCACACAGTTCAGCTTACAGAACTTAATGACTAGCATGTAGCTTAGCATGTATTAGTGTTAACTACTGGAGGCGTGTTCCATCTTCATTAACGACCCATAATTAATTGACTAATAGCCACAATTAAGTAGTAAACGACTTCTCTTGATAAAGAAAAGAGTAAAGGGGAAGAAAAAGAGGTTTAAAAAGGAGGACAGAGAAAGATAGCTTACACTGTCAAAGCAAACTCCCAAGCCTCAAGCCATAAATACAAGCCTTCTTGTCATGCCTTTGATTAAAACACTAGCAATTTATGAATCTCTTTTCATCCTGTTCATAATTCATTAGCCCTCAAAGTAAAAAAAATAAATAAAAAAATACAGCCTTATCAAATTTTAATGATACGAGTGCGTTTTGCTTTGAATGCTACTATATCTCCAAGTGAAAATTGCGTGCTGTAGTCAGTGAATCTTTAAAATGCATTGATCTCATAAAAAGCGGGAGAGGTTAGTAAATACTACCAGAGGATAAATTAGCCAACAGCACACTGAGCCAAGAAGAAGACCTGAGAAATCCTTCCAACATGGTTAGCGGTCATAAATAAGCGGGGGGTTCGAGCTCCGCACGCACATAAGCATAATCACCTTGAAAAATATTTTGACACCTTCATAAAAGAGACATCATGAAGACTAACAATGCATAGGTGTAGCAGAAGGAAGAAACGGATGCCATAAATCTTACCTTGCGCTTGTTGTTGGGGCTGACGTATAGATAGCTGAGGATGGTCTTTACTCCCACCTTTTCATTGAGTTTCTCGTAAGTGGTTCCATAATCTGTTGACCTGAAATGTAATCAGAGGCTTTGATGAGAACCAGGGGAATCAGCCGTTGTAATTAAAGACTCGCTGCGCACTTTAAACAAGGCTGGGGTGAGTATGGAACTGTAGCTTATTCATGGAAGCGAAGCACTTCTTAAGTGTCTAATTTGATTTAAGGAAGGTAATTACAGGTTTAAGAAATGTTGCAGCAATTTGTTGTAGTTATGCAGCGGCCATGACCCTGTACAGTGCTTTAAAAAAAAAGAGATGGATGAATCAGCCTGATCTCAGGATCGTAGCTGTTTTACGAGGTGGCGTTTTCGTATGAAAAGAAAAGTGCACTTAGCATACTTTTATAAAGTGTATTTATTACGCAAAATACACTGCGAATAAAATGTAATTTTTCAAAAACCTAAATGCATATAATTTGTAATAATTGTAATTTCAAATGTATTATATTCTAATAAATCTATATTAAATACAATTAGTTGAACTTTTTTTTTTGACCCATGTAAGTGTACTTTCATAATTGCTTCTATTGTCTTTGAAATACAAAAAGTGTACTTCTGAATGTAGGTAATGTGAACTAAAATATACTTTAATGTCAGTTAAAGTTAAAATTACAGTTAAATCTATTTGTAAATACTTTTTTCTAATAATGAAGTTGCGATTTAGTATATTTACATTTACATTTAGACATTTAGCAGACGCTTTTATCCAAAGCAACTTACAAATGAGGACAATGGAAGCAATCAAAATCAACAAAAGAGCAATGATATGCAAGTGCTATAACAAGTCTCAGTTAGCTTAATGGAGTACATGTAGCAAGGTTTTTTTTTTTAATCATATAATAAATAAAAAGAAAACAGGTAGAATAGAAAAGGAATAGAGCAAGCTAGTGTTAGAGGCATTTTTTTTGCTTTTGTTAATCAGAAGTCAGAAAGTCAGAATTATAATAGTATAATAAATAAAAAGAAAACAAATAGATAGAATGCAAAAAGATTAGAGAAGCTAGTGTTAGTTTTTTTTTTTTTTAAGAAAAGCAGATAGTAAATAAATAGAGTGCAAGTCTAAAAGGGGCAAGTTTTTTTTTTTTTTTTTTAATAGAATAGAGA